AATGGATGTGTCATCCTTGAGATATCGAATGTTAAAAATAGTGAGCTTGCTTACCTTTTCTTGTGACACATGATTATTTGTAAATATTCAATATTCAAATTTTCAAAGCATTCTAAGATGCACTAGATATGAGGTTGAAATTTTATAATTTGATTTTTTCAGAAATACGTTACCAAGAATAAAAAATTCTGTATAATTGTAATAATTTGAGAAGGACAGTGCATGGGGAAGAATCCTTATCTGCTTTGACTAGTCTTGTCAGGACTTACTTATGGGAAAAATATCAGTTTGATTGGCGAGTCACACTTTTCAACATCTCGTAAGACTTATGAAGCTACATAGATAATAACTACGGTTCCATATGCTATCGATAATGTTTTACAAGATGATTATATTCGTTCTTTCTTATTTTTACAATTTGATTACGCCCACAAAGATAGATAGTTCGTTAGCATTTTATCAACTTACTAATACAAGATAAATTTTATACAATATTTTCATTCTATTATCAGAATATTTAATGTGACGAAAGTTACAAAGATCAAAATAAATCTTTTCTGTATGAATTATTCTTATGAAAGTATTTAAGAATTATGATATGAATATTATATTTGGATAAACTAACGGGAATAAAAGCAAAGCAAACGTGTATATATATATATATAGAACTAAATCTTAGTAAATCGCTCTCCGCTATTGCTTCGTTCAATTTCCACAGAAGGATTAATTGTTTGATATTCATTAATATTTGAACTTAATTTTTGTTGCATATCAAGTATTTGTTGTTTCATATCACGAATCTAATTTATGAAAAGAAAATAATAAAAACAATTGATTTAAATATCTTTTACTTGTTCATCTTTTTGTTGAATTGTTTTATATTTAACTTCAACATTTTCATATGGATCATCTCTATTAAATTAAAATCATTCATATGAAAAAAGAAATCAAATCAAATTAATTTACTCATAAATATCATTTAAATTTTTTTTTCCAAGTAATTGTTGAGCTCGAAAACTTTCATAATGAAGATCACTTGTAATATCTTTTAAATCTTGAAGATGTGTTCTAGAAATCAATTTATTAAAAAGAAAAAAAAAACTACAATTATTTTTTTCTTTTATTAATCAATCTTACTTGCATAACATTTCACGTAAATGAGGTAAATCACTATATTTTGAATCTTCAACATCAACTACACCCCATGGATAGGTTCGAGCACGAATTTTACGTCCATTTGATTCAAGTATTGTATTACTACCCATTACAGCAAATGGAATTGATTCCTTTTGTTTTTTTTTTGTTTCAAAGAAAAAAAAAATAATCAATAACAAAAAATCAATGAAAAATTTTTACTCGTAAAGCTTTATCAAGTGTTTGACTATCTTCATCTTGTTCGGGATCTCCTTCAGGAAAATCATATAATTGTACCCCATATTTATCAATATCACTTAATAATTGTTTTTTTAATGCTGTTAATTCACTTTTAAGTAAAGTATCTGCTTTAGCAATAACAGGTATTATATTAACTTTATGTTGAAGATGATGAAGAAAATCTCGATCAATTGGTCGAAGACTTTTATTTGAAAGAAAAAATAATAAACAACAAAAAAATCTTATTGAAGATATATGAAATTAATTTACCCTCGAATACTTGGTGGTAAAAAATATAAACAACAATGAACACGTTGATCTTGAACATATTTACGTTCGATACCAAAACTTGTTTCAGCTTGAAAATATTTAAGAAATTGTTGATCAATAAAATCAAGTATTGGTTTCCAACTAAAAAAAAATTAAGAAAAAAAATTAAAATGTCAAAAGAAAAATTAATTAAACCATTCAGAGGAATTCATTCCATCGCCAAAACCTGGTGTATCAACAACAGTTAAACGTAATTTAACACCTTTTTCTTCCAATTCAACGGAACGAGTTTCGATTTCAACTGTCTTTGGTGGATGAACTAAAAATTAAAAATTACATTTTTTTTTTGTTTTATTTTTGATATTCTAATTTATTTTACGTCGAGCAGATGGTGGTCGATCAGCATAAAGTTCTGTCATGAATAAAGTATTAATAAACGTTGATTTACCTAGGCCATGTTCACCTATCGAAAGAGTATAGTTTTCATTAAAAAATATAAAAAGAAATTGTAGTACATACCAACAACCATAAGTGTAAATTCAAATCCTCGTTTAAGTGTTTTTCGGTGTATTTGGTCAGGTAACGTTGAAAAGCCAATTGTTTCCTGGAATGTTAATGGTTTTGATGTTGTAGAATCAATAGAAGTTCTAGTTTGATGTACAGATGGTACATCACGTGTAAGCGTATTAGAAGAACTATTTTGTTTTTTTAATAAACTCAAAAATGGATTTGAAGTCATATGCGAAGATGTTGGTGTTGAAGAAAAACTCATTTTTTAATGTGTATGTATACAAAGATTTATCTCTTTCGAATGTTGATTTGTGAAAAATGTCGAGGCCTCAATAACCTTCATAAACTTTAGCGATAAGACAAATAAAAAAAAGAAAACGAGAAAAAAAAATATAAAAAAACGCACATTGGATGTTGATTGGAGATCAGTACATTTTCGTCGACGTCCACTACCACTACGTCTTGTTTGACGTTCAAAAGAATCCGTTGCCATGCTTTGTTTTTTTTTATTGAAAATCAAATGAGCAATAAATTTTATTTAAATATCTACACGCAAACATTAAAAAGAAACAATTTAGGTTAGAATGATTGTATCATCGTCAAGAGAACAATTGTGTGTAGTAATACAAGTGGAGAGAGAAAAAAAGAGAAAGGTGTTAGGTAGTAAGAACATGTGTGTAGTAGAGATTTTATTACCACATCACTTTCGAAAGGTTGCTGTGTATAATGCTGAATGAAGTACATTGAATATAAGTGAGGAAATAAAAAATAATCAAACACATCAATCAATATACTATGAAAATGAATTTGAGAAGGTATATGAACAACAGTATATCATATACAAAAACATATCAATCTTTTTTGTTTTATACAAATGTTATTTAATTTGTTTCAAAGATTTAATCCATTGATCTTCTGTTAGATAACAATAAATATTCTTAATCTTTCTTATTATGTGTTGTTAATGTTAATTGACAGAGATTCTTTTTTTTTTGCAAATGATTTATGTGTTTTATTGTTATAGCTGTTTGATAGAAGAGCTCGTGATTGATATTATCTTTCCATATGTAAGTTTTTTAATCTGTTTTGACCTTTTATTGTATATATTATCCTCTAGATTATGTGTCTATTTTTTAAACAAATTTTGTTTTCTTGTCTTTTTTCAATGATTTATGATAATGATCCTTCAAAGAGAAATGATTTGTTAAAAATACGAGAAAAATAATTCTCATAACTTGGAATTGTTGTGAAAGTAAAACTTTGCTATTTTTCAATCATGATCAA